ATGTATGAGTGTCCCCTTTACAACATTTCTTAAAGAATGGTGATAATTATCATCATGTGTAGGCAGCTCCATAATATATAATATGCCTAATCTTCTAGGGATCTAATAAAATATTTGTATGATAGATTACATGTCTAATTAAAATTGGGAACTTGTGAATGATACATCAACCATAGGAAGACCCCCTGGTTTTCTGACACTGTGTTATATGGATATTTAGAATTAATCATCTTTACTGTCACTAGCACCTAATGAATTATAGAACTATAGAGTTCAAATAATTCAAAATTCTTAACATCTTCCTCTAACTCAAGCTTAATTGACTATAGAACTTTCACGGTGGTAAGTTAGAGAAATGTCCCTGAGAGTCTCTGTCGAGGCAGGGCCATGGATATATTTTTGTGTCTAGCTGGTGTTTTGTTTATAGTAAGTGTTAATTAAATTTTTTGAATAAAAAAATATATTTTTAAAACACTTCAGTTTTTTAATATCCAGGACTTCTGTGGAACTTAGAATTTGATTCTAACAGTTACTATTTAGGCAAGTCATTTAAATTTTCCAAGTCTCATTTCTCCATTGAAGACAGGCATCTATCTGTAAAATGAAGAGAAAAATGTTTATGGCACACAGATTTTGTTTCATTTTTATATTTGCATGTTCATTTATTACAATTCTGTGTTTTTCATAAATAAGGGTTACATAGCAGGTTTGTTGAGAGGGATAATAAAATACCACCACTTTCCAGCACCAAACAGTTGCCCACTATTACTATTAATATGATTCCCATTGTTATGCTCTACAAACAGAAGGAACATTTTAAGACCCAGAATCTGAATGGATTTGTATTCTGTTTTTTCAAATTGTGGTATGTATACAGATTAATTTTGATGAGGAATAAGGAAAATTTTTTTAAAATCATTTATTGTGTATTTTTACAGTCATTTAAAGTCATTTTTACAGTATTATTTTCAGTGCCTACCCTGTGCTAGGTAGGGTTCTAGGTTCTGGGAATACAGTTTTACAGACAGTAGACACAGTTCCTCCTCTGTGGAGCTAACCATGTAATGGAGGATTTAGATAATTCGTGTAAGAAATGTGATTGGGGGCAGAATGTAGGGTTCTATGTAGGACACATGAAGGTCAGGACTGGTCAGGACTTGGGTCTGTTGAAGGCATCAGGGAATGTTTCTGAGAAGGAAACATCACTAAATTGAGAGCTTCAGGATCAGGAGGTAGGCAGGCAGGTGGCAAACATATCCCTGGGCTCAAAGAGAGGCCATAGTATAGAGATTAGGGGAGATTTCGGCCAACACTGGAGAGAGAAACAGGGACCAAGCCCTGCAGGGCATGGATGCCAGATTTGGATTCTGTCCAAGGGAGGGTGGAGCAGAACAGTGACTGATCAAACTGCTATTTTAGGGAACACCACTTTAGTGTGGAGGAACAGATGACAGGAAGAACAACCAGGAGACCCTTTGGGATGCACTCTGTGGGCTAGGAGAGAGAGCCAGTGGTGGCCTAGACTGGGGAGGCAGCTTGGAGGAGAACTTTGGACAAATTTGAGTGATATTGACAGGACCTGGGGATTGACTAGATGCTCATATTTCTGACCCAAACAGCTATGTGGGTAGTGGTGCCATCCACCAACACAAGCAACAGAATGGAGGCAGAGGCTGGGTTCAGGGAGTGGCAATGACCCATGTGTAGACTTTCTGGGCTCTGTGTAACTGTGGGAAACATGACTTGAGAAAGTCTGGTGGATGGTTGCATAATTGGTTCTGGAGCTGAGAAGAGAGATATAGATAAGTTTTAGAGCCTTGCATGTCACCAGTATAAAGATGGCACCTGAAGGGAAGGATATGAATGATATCACCAGGAAGACTGTCACATGAGAAGAGACCAGGCCTAGACACAAGGTCTTACCCACAACCCTGAGTGGCAACAAATTCTAAAGGAGTGGCAGAGGAGTAGAAACATGCACAGCACACTCAGGAGTAGCCCAGGAGGTGAATCACGAGTATACATTTCCACAGATCATAGGGAACAAAGTTTCTCTAAAGCAGTGGTGACTGTGTGGGAGGTTGGGGAGTGGATGCCTAGTGGGGGAGTTGTGACCTTGCTGTGAAGAGCAGAGCCAGATCACATGGGTTTAGAAAAACCAGGAATTGGAGAGAGACAAGTGTGGATGGCTCTGCAGAAAATGGTTGCTGATGGAGAGCAACAGCAAAAAGAGGACAGAAGGTCAGGGAGAACTTGTCATTTTCTTTTTTAGAAGATAGGAGGACCTTGAATGGGTTTATTAGCTGATGAAAAAAAAAACAAAACCCAGTGGAAACCAAGATGGTGACTAAGTAGGAGAAAATGGTATCTGTGGGAAGGTGGGGAGGGGGCAGTAGGCTTCAGAGTCCAAGTGGGAGAGTCAGCCTGGGGAGGAGAAAGGACTCACCTTTGAGAGCAGTGAGGAGGAAAGGGTGTAAGGTCTGAAGTGGCCGGTGAGGTGAGAAAGGTTGGAGGATGGGAAGTTGAGGGAGCATTTGCCTGTTGCCTTCTGTTTCTCTTTGACCGAGGAACTGAGCCCAGGTCTCATGCCCCGGATCTGATTTCCTCGTGACATAGAGGCTCCATCCTCTCAGTGGTTTTGTGTTCTCATTCAGATACTGAGGGTCTCTGTCATACATTCCTCTTCCCTCCTCCCTTTACCCACCAAGACTTCTAGCTAAGCCCATAAACTGCCCTGTACTAGAATAGGTCCTTCTTATCTTCAAAACAGGTCTCTTTCCCTCTCAGATAAATTAATAGGTCTATTATAGTGGTTGCCATTTGTGTTTCCTACATGGAAGACTCTAATGGTTGATCTGTCAGATTGCTTAGACATCAGAAGGTATTTGAGGACATGCATATCCCTTTAATTCTTCCTTTCCTTAAAGTTAGCTCTGTTTGTTTTCATTCTAGCCTGGGGCTAGTTCTGTACCTCACAGGTAAATTAATTCAGCTCAACAGATGGAAGTGGCTCAAGTTAACTCTTGCTCCTTTTCAGAAATCCCATTTCAACCAGATAGTGTATGTCATTGGTGGTTCTGGGAAGAAAAGAAGTTGAGCAGGAAGAACAGGGGCCATTTTTTAATGGCTGATGTACAGGGTCTCAGGACTTTCTATGTCCAAAAGCCTGACCCAACTGATAGTAAGAAGTTATATAAGAGGACTTGGCCACCCTTCTGCCCTCTGATCACATCCATGACCGTGAGTGGCTACACAGAGATTGTATGGAAGGGCATCATGGTTAAAACATAGGCATGGTGTGAAATATGACTCTTCCTTATAGATGGCATTAAAATTCCTAGGTGGGGCGCCTGGGTGGCTCAGTCGGTTGAGCGTCCGACTTCAGCTCAGGTCACGATCTCGCGGTCCGTGAGTTCGAGCCCCGCGTCGGGCTCTGGGCTGATGGCTCAGAGCCTGGAGCCTGCTTCCGATTCTGTGTCTCCCTCTCTCTCTGCCCCTCCCCGTTCATGCTCTGTCTCTCTCTGTCTCAAAAATAAATAAAACGTTAAAAAATTAAAAAAATAAAATAAAATAAAATTCCTAGGAGTGGAAGTTTAGAAACTTATACTGTACAGTGAAAATGAAAAGTAACGGTATTTTGTGGAGGAAAAGTAATTTATTGGCTCTGACATGAAAAGCCCTGGGAGTAAGCATCCTTCTAATAATGGACACCCATGATTGATGGCTGTTCTGTGCTGCTGCTGTCTAGAAGTGAGCTCTTTGAAATAGCATAGTAGGGACTTTGCAGGTGAGTCTCATTTGGTTAAGTTACTGCTGCTTTTGTGAAGCTCTGCTGCATCTTTATATTCTAACAAGGAGAAGATGGTAAATCAGAGTAATTGCTTCATCTCAAGGCACTTTTATATTGTAAAGGAAAAAGGTCCTGTTAAGAAACTCAGATTAACTTCTCTGTTTATCCTATATGGAAAGCCTCTTTGAAAGCTGCTTATCATACAACCTGCTGGTTTATTTATAATGGAACGATTCCATTAGAACCTGACACTTGTTCTCATGGCAGCAAGACTTAAGATCCCTCAGGAAAAGCATTTAACCCTTGGAAATGCAAAGCTGTCATTTATCTGTCATCTCTCTAAAAACTCACTGGAGGGTATTTACAAGAGAGATTTGGAACAGTTATCATTTCCACCGAGTTAGAAATGGAGTTAGGACTCACTAAATGGTCAGTAGAGAACAGATGAGCGTCCAGTACCGTAGTGCAGAAGCGGCTTGTCTTTGTTAGTGCCATTACAATGCACTAATTATGGTGTTCCACAGTTTTTAAGTAATTCACTGTACAGAGTTCAGGGACTGGTGTATTAGTTAATTGCTAGTTGTAACTCATTTGAATTGCTTATCTCACTTATATTTTATAAGTTTTACAAGAGTTCTGAAAGTTGATGCTTATCAACCAAGGAAACTTAGCAGATCTTAGAAGAATGAACTCAAATTGTCATGATATGAAAATTAACACCCTTCTGCCTGGCAGTTACTAGCAAAAGATGGGGATACCATTTGTCAAAGTCTGTCAGTAAGTAGGTTCCCTGGGGAGCCAGTGGAGCATAGTGTAAGAATTCATTCTCTGGTGCCAGACTGCCTGGCTTCAGACCCCAACATTGTCGCTCACTGGCTATGGGACTTGTACAAGTTAGTTAAACTTAGAGCCTCATGTTTCTTCAGTGGTTGATGGGGATAATGTCTCTTGGGGTTTTGAAGACTACTCAGTGAAATAATGTATGTAAAGTGCTTCATGCAGTGGCTGCATGTAGTATTAAAGGGTAGTTGTTGTTATTAGCAAAATTTAATATGGGCCTGGTGGGTTTGGTAAGATGTTATAGATTATCCCAAAAGGATATTTTTCTTTGGAATATTTGTCGGCTACATTTGTCTGTGGGTGTTCATTATTTTTGTGACTCCCTTCTCTTTCCTAGTTTCACCAAAGCTGTCGTATAGGACAAGTGATTATGGCACAAACCATCCTCAATTCTTCTCCCATTCTTGTAGAACAGATTGGCAGCCCTGAGGAAGAGATCTATAAATGCTCTCAAAGAGAGTCTCTGAATCACCTTTGTGATCAGAGACAAACAAGTAAGGTTGGACTGACCTTTTCAAGGTACCTATGGTAGAAATAATATTGCGGGTCATACTTACAAAGCTGATGGCAAGTTAGTGGTGTAATGCTGTTGGGGAAAATGGAGGGAACAGGTGTGAGAACTGAAATTACTTGAGTCAAAAAGAAGCCTAGTATAAGTGAGCAGGCCAGAGTGATGTTCTTCAGGATTTAAGGGTTTATTGTATGCACCGTTGACCAGTCCTCTCTCCTCAGCAGATCTTTAACTGCCCACCTCCCACAATTCTCACCACCACTACCCTCTGCCACCCCACCCC